ATTGAGCAATATAACCTAAAACTGTCCTTTCGCCTACCAGAATATGCAAGCGTTTTCCAGGCCGAAACGTTTGCTATTAAGGAGGCAGTAAGGTTCATCAAAGACAATGTACCCGCGAGAACGCAAGTGAACATCCTCTCGGGTAGCCAAGCGGCTATTCAGGCACTCTCTTTTAACTCTGTTAGATCTCAGCCAGTGGATGAATGTAGGAGAGGGCTGGCATATATTTCTAATCAATACGAAATTACCCTAATATGGGTCCCGGGACATAGGGGCATCTACGCAAACGAGGCAGCGGACGAACTAGCAATGAGCGGCTCCGCAATGGATGTGTCCCACGCGATGGACATGGGCGCCTCGCTCAGGGAGATTAAGACAAAAATTACCGAAATTTATCATTCGAAGGCCAGGCAGAGGTGGAACTGCACAGGATCCTACAGAATTGCCCGGCAGTTCTGGGTGTTCTACGACCCTCTCAAAACCAAAGCTCTCTTAGGGATTAGCACAACAAATGCCTACAAACTTACTGCAGGATGCACAGAGCACTGGCCCGTTGGGGTACATGCCGAAAGGATAGGGCTGCCCTTCAATAGGTTCTGTCGCAGCTGCGATGACCCGCGCTCAAAAGAGACAGTCGAACACTTGCTGTGCGAGTGTCCAGCCCTCGCAAGGATGATGCTAAAGACACTCGGCAAACCATTCCTGCAGAATGTTTCAGAGTGCAGCTGCCTCTCTCTGTATGACGTACTGAAATTTATTAAACCCGCCAAATGGCTCTAGGTTGCACGAGTTGTGGAACAAAAATGGCAAACTTGCTAATTGCTTGTCACCTGAGTGACAATCCACTTAAACCAACCAACCTACACATAGAATCCTTCTATGCTACACGCGCATATTCCAAAAATATGCCATAAAAATTGACCCGCCCTAATGCATACATAAATATTTGCCTTATCTACCATTCAAAAAAATTTTACACTCCGCACATTGCTTGTATACAACACGAAATCGCATTTCCCCTATACATAAAGTATGACCGAGTACTCTAGTCCTTCATACACAACTCTCATATACTTTTCTTAACAAATATCATTGGCAGTATTTACTCGCGTGATAAAAAGGTAAACGAGTTCTCTCAATTCGTCGACCATGACTATTTTACCCGCGCTTTTATCATGTCAAAATCTTGTTTGTACAGACCAGGGCTTCGGAGCGGAGTACATAGGGGTATTTGAAAGATTTAGGCGGCCATAAACCAATTTGACAAAATTTTGAAGAAAACTTAAAAAATTAGTCACATTCGATAGTGAACATTCTAAATAACATTTTCCGGTCCCCCTTCCATTTTCTAACTTGCACAGCGAACGCTTACCGTAGACCGGAAACGGAATATTATAACGCTGCTTATAAATAATTTTTCGCTCTCTAGAAAGATCGTGACGGTTTTAAGTTAATATTTTGATTTCTGCACTGTGTTCTTAAAAAGTAGTGACGGATCCGCATACAGAAGATAATAATGCATTTAAGTACTAAACTCTTTTAATCATTTTGATAAGAAAAAGTTCAATTTAAATGTAAAGAAAATAGCGCTTTTCAACGAGTATTTTTTTATTTTTTGTTGAATATTAAGGTATCGTTGTATGCCCGGGAGAGATCGCATTATTATTCTTTGTTCAGTTGAAAGCTTAGAGATTCGGCTAATGTAGTGTGAAAATATTTCCCGCAGAAAATGGCAGATAAGTGGTATTTCTTTACTTAGACAATGTATTAAAGAAAAATATGAAATATGATATGGGGCAAAAGCCTCACATTGTGAACTGGATGTACACAGCGGTTGTGCGTCCCTTTCTATTCTACGGCATAAAGGTTTGGTGGCCATCCGTAGATAAATCTACTATAAGAAACAAATTAACAGCGGTCCAAAGGGTGGCGTGCATGATGATCACGGGAGCGTTACCATCGACGCCTACTAAAGCCCTAGAGACCTTGCTTCACTTGCTACCTGTGGACCTATATGGTAAACTACAGCCAAGCTGTAATGCTATTAGATTAAATGCACTAATCAAATGGAGTGACACGAGGTTTGGTCACTCTAGAGTTTTGGAAGATCCTCCAGAGGACTTTAGGCGCCTGGACTACACAGTCCCGTCAACGGGACTAAAGAATCATTTCCAGACAAGGATCCCCTCAAGGGAAGAATGGGAGGAGGATTCGGTCCTGATATCGTATTCTGACTCCACAGCCATCTACACTGATGGCTCCAAGTTGGATCTGAGGGTAGGAAGTGGGGTATACTCGCAAGAACTCTCACTTAGCCTCAGTTTTCGTCTGCCAGATCTATGCAGCGTTTTTCAGGCTGAACTAACAGCAATAAATGAAGCTGCAAGTTGGTTGATCGATTCTCTAATTAATCTGAAGGCGGTAACAATATTTTCTGACAGCCAAGCTGCTATTAAAGAACTTAATAGTGACAATTCTACGTCGAAGGTTGTTATGGAATGTAGACGTACTCTTAATGAACTGGCAAGGTGTACGTCACTAATGTTGTATGGGTTCCAGGCCACAGAGACATACCGGGAAACTGCGGATGAACTAGCAAGGGAAGGAACCTTGTTGTCTGCAATCCGTACAGCCCGTAATGCGGGCATTCCGCTATCTTCTTGCAAGCTCTGGCTGGAGAATAACTTTGTCGGACGGGCTAATATAAGATGGTCTGCGGAGCCTACCTGCAGGATAGCAAGACATATCCGGCCTAAGCTTGACAAGCGTAGATCTCGCCCTCTCCTCCACTTGGAGCGACCACTGCTGCGGCATGTTATTGGAGTTCTCAACTTGGCATTGCTTGATGGGAATCCACGCCACTAGAATGGGTTTGCAGTCAAACGACTACTATCGTAGCTGCCGCGATGAGGAGGAAGTCGAGAGCGTGGAGCATTACTTATGCCGCTGTCCTGCTCTGGAGAGAGCTCGCCGACGCTCGTTCCTCCATTATTCTTTTAAATGTATGGCCGAACTGGATTCAGCCAGCGTCTATGACTTTGTCCGCTTCATCAGAGCTACGAAGTGGTTCCATTACTAGGGTAAGAGAAGGGACATATAGAGTCTCTTTTATGGCACCACAACACCGGCCCATGGTGGCCTAAGTGTGCCCCTTTTCCTGTAGGATTAGGGCAGCCGAGATAATCTAACCTAACCTATGGGGCAAAAGCAAAAGTCTCTGAAGTTAAACAAAACTTGCACCTTTTTTGTCAGCACCCTTGGAAAGCCATACTGGGAAATGATCATACAAATCGAAGGGAACATCTTCAACTAGATGATCCGCTCTTTTCCCAACACTTAGATTCTTTTTCATTTGTGCTGAGCTTGGACGACCAGCAGAACCATTGGTAGTAGAAGCAAAAATACCAGCAGCAATATTTTCACGGAACTCAGGCAATTTCAATAATTGTTCTTCTTGCACCGATTTATTTGAGTCATTTAATTTTCCCGAATGCAGTCGCCGATACAAAATGTATGTATTTGTCGGGTGACAGGTAATAAGATCAATGGAAATAAGGTAAATTGACTTTATTTCGCATTATTACCTTTTTAAAAGCGAAATAAAATCCATTGACATTATTGCTTTTTCAAACATTAAATTTGCTTAGCTCCGCGGCGGCCCGCGTCCGCGCGCCACACCGCGCGACCGGCGCGCCACCCCACGTCACGCTAGGCCGCGGCCCCACCCTCGGCCATGCCTTCCCCGTCTCCCGCCGTGCTGTAACGCAGGTAGATTTATTTTTTGTATACGTTGAAATACAATTCTTATATATTTTAAATATCGAGGGCTTATATTCAATAGAGGGTATTATTGAATATAAGCCCTCGCACACTTTTCACAAAGATGAGATTCTGATATAAAAATCCACCTAAGCTTTAACTGTCATCGGTGATATTAATGCTACCTTATATAATGACAAGTAATAAGTCCCAGATGGTTTCTAAAATAACAAATTAGCTTTTGTGCAAGTTGCAGAGAGAGGGTATTAATGAATTCAAGCCCTCGATATTTCACATTTTTATATTTGTAAGTTATTGGAAGCAGAGATGCCAACTTGGCTCAAACCGTGCCATTTTTGTACCTATTTTATTTCAAGTGGCACTTTATTTTTCAATTTGGCACAAAGTCCCACAATGGCACTTTTGTAAAAAAATAACATTTCAATACATTTTTTTGAAATCCTTTGCATGTACTTCTTTTTCTCAAATAAAATTTTCTAATTTAAAAAGGCTATTCAACTGGTTTATCATATTTTATCATTGCACTTTTGTTTTGAAAATATGACTTTTAACTTATTGCTAAATGTGAATGATTAAAAGGAATGGCACCTTGTTTGGCACTTTTATTTTTCTATTTGGCACATTTTGGCACTTTTTTATCCTCAATATGGCACCTCATAACTAAGGATATTTGGCAGCTCTGATTGGAAAATGTCTGCTGTGTTTTGGCAACAACTTGTCTGCAGTAAAAAATCATATAATTTGTGATTCAAAAGTGTGTGAAAGGCAATCAATTAATTTACATGATCTCGGTTCCGATATTAAATAATTGTTGGAAACCCTAGACTATCGCAAAAGTCAAAACATGAAAAACCGCATGACTCGCCATTCGAGTGACATCTGCTTACAGTATAAAATCACGAACTATTGTCTCTTAATTAATTATCTAATATTAATGTTAATTTGTATATTATATTTGAAGTTTTAATAAA